TAGTAAATAAATTCTCTAAAGCTATCTTCTTTAAGAAAAACCAATTACTTAAACAAATAAAAAGAGATAATTAAAGAAAATGAGTCGTAACCAGACTTAGTCATTTTACAGCTTTTTAAGATGCAGTTGTGCATCACAATTCGCGACTGGTCAAGAAATAAATCTTGAAACAAACTGGTCGGCCTTGACTGCAAGTGTTCTTTCTTGTTTCCCAGTCGGTTCAAGTGCAAGGCCAACATCGACACTTCCTCTTTTGCTCCTCTCTCCTCCGTTCGATCTGTGTTTTGTCTAAGTCTAATCGTAAAACACAGAATTGCACGCCCTGTTACCAAAAATACGCGGATTGTCAGAGATTGAGATAACCTTCCGCAGATAAGGTAAAAAAATTTTTAAAATTTTTGATAACGTCGGTCTAACAAACCGACTTTTTCTAAAATAAAAAAAAGTAGAAATTTAGCTGATAAATATTTGTAATAATCTAATTGTGTATATTATTCTCTATACAAATATAATATGAAATTTATCATTTTTTTGTTATTTTAATAATTTTAAGGGAGTACCTATTAAAAAAATGTGTCATTTTATGAACAGGCTTTTATAAAATAAAAATAATTATAACAAAAAATAGTATATTACTTTATGAGGCGGAGAAGCATGACTTTTCTTGATGCGCCCGATATCACGCGCTGAACGAAGTGAGGCGCGTAATAGAGGGCAAGTCAAGAAAAGTCTCTTCTTTGCCGAATAAAGTATACTATTTTTTCTTCAAACGTAGCAATTTTCAACCATAAATAGTACAATTTATACGCTATTTTTACTCGAAATTAACTGTGACAACTATCAAAGTCGTCTAGATGTTAGAAATTAAAATAATTAAGTCGTCACGTCGTGGGATTTGCGTCTCCCTGGTTACTACAGTTGTTTGCAATTATTAAAGACAGCTTATTGTTATTCGCAAGCGCAAATTTAGTGCGAAAATGGAAAACCTAAACGAAATTGAGTCCGCGGCTAAAGATGCAGTAGCAAGTTTGAGGCCCTCCAAGTCCGGAATAAAGTATCGGTTAGCGTACAAGCACTTCCAAGAGTGGTGCGATACAAGAGGAGTACGGCAAGTTACCGAAGACGTTTTACTGGCATATTTTAATATAATGGAAAATGAAAATAAATGGAAATCTTTTACAATGTGGTCCCGATACTCTATGATAAAATCCGAGTTAGTTATTAGAAAAAATGTGGATATAAGCAAATTTTTAAAGTTACGTGCTTTTCTGAAAAAAACAAGCGAAGGATATACTGCAAAGAAGTCTAAAGTTTTCACTAAAGACGAGTTTGATAAATTTTTGTTTGAAGCGCCAGATAAGTTGTATTTAGGATTAAATGTAAAAAAAAATTATATTGCAAAGCATGTAGTATACTCTACTAAATTATAAAAATATTTCAGATTGTTTTGTTAATTGGGGTTACCGGCGGCTGTCGATGCGACGAAATGGTAAAAATGAAGACTGTGGACATTGAGGATAAAGAAAATGTAATAATTATCAAAATCCCAGACAGTAAAACACGACAAATTAGATATTTTACGATAATTGGTCAAAACTACATTAAACTGTATAAAAAGTATGCATCAGTGCGGCCTGAAAATTTCACAGAAAACCGATTTTTTATCCAGTACCAAAATGGAAAGTGTTACCGAAGTGTCATGGGAATACATTCGATCAGCGCAGTAGCCCAAAAAGTAGCTAGTTAGTTACTAGCTAGGTACTAGCTTAGACATGGGGGTCGGAAATCAAGCACGGTTGCCGAAGGATATATAGAGGATTCAATAAGAAATAAGAACGATAATGCTCAAAAAATTTTAAACCCTCATGATTCGCCAACATCGGGAATGATTGCTGAAAGTTGTTCTCGACCATCAGTATCATCAACAATTACCAATGCGTATCAAGAGTCGGGAACATTTTTGCACGGTTTCAATTTTGAAAATGCCTCATTAACTAATTGTACTTTTAATATTACTATAAATAAAAATGATGTTTAATTTGTTGTTAATGACATTTGTATTGTTGCTTTGTGACATGTTTCATATTGTTGCCATGACAACATTTTTCTTTGCGCGGCCCCGCCGTAAAGAAATGGGAAAAAAACTGCTGCCGGCGGAGACATCAAACTTTGACAGGATCAAGTTAGATAAGTAATGTCATCATTATTTTGACGTTTGAAGAAAAAATAAATTCTGGTTCTACTAAAACATAAATCAGTTACTTGTATGTTAAATAACATAGAAAATCGAATTTTACTCTCAAAATTTACACAGATTACTGAAACTATTCCAAGTTTGGGCACCACAGTTTTTCAAAACAATGCCTACATAATCCCGTTAGATGTTCTAGACACAAATTTTTTTTACAGTTTGCACAAGAGTATCTTGTTCTTCGACTTTTTGTAGTGCTATGAATGGGATAATGAACATAGGGTTCAATGGGATAATTCAAATGTAGTCCTAAAAGAAACGGATAGTAAAAAAAGAAAAATCAAAGAAGCGGCTCTAATTATGCTAAATGAGGCCAATTGTGTCGCAAATTCCTCGGCAGAATGTAGTAGGATCTGGTTACCCATATTGAAAGAGGAAGTTATTAATAACAAAATACCAGTATTAGTAAGTCAGTAACATAAATAGAGGATACATCATTTATGTTTTTTAAATAACAAACATAATCAGAATTTGTGTTTATTGAAGGTAAACTAAATGCACGACCAAAATACTTACCATGTCGGGATAGTATTATGAGGTTTTTTTCCTGTTTTTCCCTCATAATTTACTATGGAATCACTAACAAGGAGAATTTTACTGTCATCATGGCAAGTGTTTGTCTTTTTAAAGACGAATTACATGCTATGGTTTTTTTTCTACGGATATTCTCAAGTTAAAGTTGATTTCACGTAATCGAATGAACTAAAGTCGTCCCAGGAGCGCAAACTCAACAATATTGGCAATATAATTTTAAAGTCGTTTACTTTAAAATGCATAATGTTTGTCTGAATTGTCAATATAAAATGAGTCAGATAAAATTAAATTATTAGACGAATTTTTCACAAGTAACAAAAAAAACGAAATTTGTTTAATTTACTAATGTTTGTATTTTGAGAACGATTTTCCGAAGTGAAAATTGAAACGTCAATAAACGTACTTTAACCTTTAATTGTGGCTTATTCCCAGTTAAATAGTAATTAATTTAAAATGGCACAAGAAAATAGCTTCAGAACAATATTAATAAATAATAGTTCTATAAAATGAAATAACTAAAAATTAGTTCCAAAGCTACTATTAAAATTAAAAATAATTCCAATAAATTAGGAACTATAAACAAAATAAAATGTTCAAAAAACCACACTTTGTGCCAATTAGAAACCAAATCTATCGTACAACTCCTTTCTCATAGCCTTGAGTTCATTTGCTGATATGTTTTGAGTACGTTCGACTACGAGAGATTTAAGTCTGGTGAAAGAGGGGTCATTTTCTTGTACTTTGTGTACTAATCACACATTAAAAAAAATGAAATCTAAATAGTCTATGCCGGCTTGTGCATTACTACGTCACAAGACTGCCGTCTTGTTTAGATTTTCTTTCGATAAAAAAGAAGAAGTAATATGATCCCCAAAATTCCAAGTACTTGGATGTGATACGAAAAACTATTGTGCGCGAGTAGCGGAGAAATCTTGCATTTTTTACTGCACATTTCATAGATTTCTTAAATTCATATTGTCAATTGTCATATTTGATATTCGTTTGTTTATTTACATCTTCTGTCACTGAAGAAAATGGGATTTAGGAAATGCTGTGTTATAAATTGTAAAAATACAACAAGAAATTGTCAATTTAAGTTTTATTCGTTCCAACTTCGAAGCACAAATTACTACAAAGAGAAAAGTGGATTTATATCATAAAAAGCATAAGTAACATAACCTAAATATATGCATTATTCTTGCGCCCGACTTTAAAGTCAGTTTGAAATAAATAATAAATAAAAGTTCACTTTTAAGTGTAAATTTTAGTTTCATAAACATCACTTAAAGTTCATATTAAACCAAAAATTCAAGTTTAATGTTTAAATTTTATTTTTTTGAAGTTTACAAAACTGCATCAAGTTCAAGTTTTTCTGAAGATGCATTAAGATATATTCGCTGTCCAAATGTTTACAGGAAAGAATTAATTGTTCAACCAATATGATGTTATCATGGGCTTAACCTGCTAATTTATGCATTTATACATTAGCATTATTTATGATAATTTTTTTTCTTAAATTCTTCCACATAATTCTTCCATTCTTTTTTGACATTTTCCACTACTAAAGCTTTTCCATTTGACTCAGTGCTTGGTTAAAAAGTTATTTGGTGATTTACTTTCTCAAATCCAGTTTTTATTATTGCTGAACTTGCACGGTCCCATCGAAATAAAAAAACGAACAAAGAAATCTTCAACTTTTTTTAGAAATATAAAAAAAGCCAATAATTCAAATATCTAGCAATAAATAGCAAAAGACGGAACATCAAACGCATTTAGCAAAAAAATACAACAAAGCCGGAAAGTAATACAGACACTAAACTCAGTATTTCGGTCTACTAAAATTAGCCTAAAAACAAAAATGACAATATACAAGTCGGTTGTAGAACCATGGGCCCATTTCCGCTATTCTAGTTGCAAGAAGTTGTTGATTTCGTTGTTTTTGTGTTTTTAACAACTTTACACAAAAAACATTGTCACAGTTAGACATCCATTCAGAATCCTTGATTCTCCAGCAGCTACAGTTTTTAATAAACCGGGATTTTACATTGTTGCATCGCTTTATGCGGACCTTTTAACCTACTTTCAATTCCCTAAATCACCCCTTCTCTCCAATTTGTACTAAAAGCTTCCATTTTGTATCTGCTGCAATAAAAAGATTCATTTCTCAAGATTACTTTTTCTTTATTCGCTAAAACGTTTTTTCTTTTATTTTCAGGTCTCTATGATGACTGACACTCTGGATGGAGACGTTTCGACAGGGTGTGTCACGCACATAAAAAAGGAATTGGATGGCTTTCATGAGTGCTCTCCGTCTAATAGCGACATGTACTCCCCCACAACGACAACTACGACAGTCTTAAATGATAATAGTATTAAGTCTTCAAACAGTGAGGTAAGGAATTATTTATTAATAGACAAGGTTGATTTTATTACACAGTCGGACTTTTTTAATATATAAACAACATAAAAATTAACTAGCAAAGTTTTTTAATTGACTGGACTATAATTGAAACTGCATCGAATATACTACAGTCCTTTTACTCTATGACGGCCGATATGAAATTAAGATATGATCAGTGGGCCTCAAACAGTGTGAAACGTAAACATATTTGTTTCCTAGATTTTATGTTCAGTAATAATTATTAGATTTTAACTGTATCCATGGCAAATAAATGAATATAATATGTATATACAGGGCGTGTTAACAGAAGTGGGACGGAAATATTTCGAATATTCGAAATTATTTGTCGACATCAAATGTTCATCAAGGTTCTATAAGTCTCTATTTTTGCGTGGAGTGAAAATTATACGAATGGATTTGTATACAGTAAAAATTGGAAGAAAATACTTGCCAAGTTGCTGGTATGTCCAAATTTGAATAAAATACATCCAAGACTTTTCTTTCTTTTAGACTTGTATTAAATATAACCTTGAAACAAATTGGCACTAAATCACTTCCGAGTTTTACAGCAAAACAAAGGGTTTAAAACACTGTAATCCAGTAATTAATACCGAAGCTATTGAGAGTATGCAGTCTAGTAAATTAGGCCAAAGGTACTTTATCGTTTAACTAAAACACACCACTAACTCCGAATTTATTTCCCGCAACACTTTTTTGTTACCTCTTTTTTAGCAAACGATTTGTCCTATTCACATTTGTAAAAAAATTGCTTATTAGCGAATAAAAATATGCTTAAAAAATATGCTTAATAAAAACGGGTAGGATAATGGCAAGGATAACGTATAATTTAAGCTGGCTAGCAGAGGTGCCGGAGAGTGGAATACTTGGCACTCAAAGGAGAATTCGGCCAATTTGCATGCCCTACAGAGAACCGTAGAATTAGAAAATGAATGACAGGTAATAATAAAAAAGTATAGGTATATAACTAAGATAAATAAGAATGGTTATAGAAGTTGCTCCAAAATGTGAGAGGGCGCCAGGAAAGTATTTACATAAACTTTCCAAGGTATCTTGTAAAGCTAGTTGCTGAAATTAAAAAAGGATCTAGGTATGAATGAAATATTTAGTTTTCACCAAAACTTTAATTCTAGCCAATATGTACAATCTAAATTTATTTTAATATACCCACCACCAATTAAGTACAGCTAATCTAGTTATATACAAAAAAAATAAATGCCCTGGTTATACAACGGATCCTGGATGATCTAAATTTACAAATAACAAAATATGGAAACAAAAATGGTAATAATTGACCTAAAAAGGTAATTTATATGCCTCAGAGATGGCAACTCTGTATTCCGGCTTTATTGAATATAATAATAACAAGTAATAAGGGACACTATCTTGATGAGATAAGTGCCAAACGTTTAAATATATTATGATAATAAAATCTAAAAAAAAATAACTCTCTGATTAAATGTGTACACAAAAAATCGTACAACCGAGTTATAAGGAAGGCTTTAAAACTCAACCTGAACGTAAAAAAATTAATACTTATGTGGTTTATAATTATTTAGAAAAAAATGACAAGTCTTTATATATTAAGTGAAAATATTAATGTTTATAATTAAAAGAAAAATATGACCAAAAATGATTAAATTAATGAAAAAAACAATATAGAAATTTAAACTTAGAAATATAGTTTTTAGAAATTTAGAAATAGAATATTAAAAACAATATAGAAATTAAGAAGGTTCCACCCTCTAAATAAGAGAGGTTCTTTCAGCTGGTATCCGGAATTGGTCCAAGAGTAGTCGGGAGAGCTCTGGACCACTGATGGATCAGTCGGCAAATGGCAAATTCTAACGTAATCTCTTTTCTGAGTGTAATTTAATTCCCCAACAAAATTATATAAATGAAAATCCTTGATTCAGGCTTTAACTTCTTGGGGTAGGCTAAAAAGAACACTTGTGCTACAATTCCTTCTTACACTTAATAAAAAGATGGGAAAAAATATGACAAAAAAGTTTAGCAAAAAAAGTCTAACACTATTTGATGTAAAATAAATTGATTGAAATCGATAATTTTAAGGAAATATTTTTGATACACGGATATATTTTTAAATATAAAAGGGACGGTATAAGGCGGAATATTTTTACAGCTAGTCTTAATAGATAATAGATAATTTAACGATGGATAATCATATGTTTTTAAAGCTGGGAAATAAAATAGAAAATTGGTATGATTTTTATAACAGTATTATATATTAAAATCCAGAATGGTTCTTAAGGAAATAATGTGAGAAATTATAGATAGATATTACACTATCGAAGAAAAAGTGACAATATTATAGAAGATACAATGGCTGATAGTTTTTACACTTTTAATTTATAATCTAATTTATAGTTATCAACTCACCGACTAGTAGCGGCTTCTAAATTAACGATTAAATACTATCAAATAACTAAAAAAACTGTATTCTTCCTTCCCCAACAAAATTATTATTCTTAAAATATATTTAGCCCGCTGCTGTCGCCTACCTGTTACAACGACGTTCTTTCTCAAAAAGTCAAACAGAATGATCGCTAATTATTAGACCGATTGTCATGGCCCTTACAGCGTCGTAGATGGCGTTACTTACTACAACTTAAATTTTAAAATTCAGAAAGTCATTAAGAGGATCGGGTTTCTAAAATTTATTTAAAAATGTTTACGAAATATTAAAGTTAACGTTCCCGTTACAGTCTGATATTTCACTATCAGAGTCGTCACTATTCTGAATTGTCTTATCCGAAATAATTAGAGGCCTGACTCATTTATAACTCGCTCGGTTTGAAAAGACTGAACGATGATGTCTTGGATGTCTAATACAACTTTGCCATTGGTCTGCCTTTATTTGTTCTAGCGATTCTTTCATACACTAGGAACGCTAGCGCATCTGTTGTTTGGATGCATGTTTATCATAAAAATTTTTGGCTATACCCCAAACTAACTCAATTGCATTATAGTGGCAATTGTAGGGCGGAAGTCGAAGAACTTCATGGCTATATTTAAGATCCATTTGGTCGTAACAAATTTTTGTTGAATTTTGTGCTCTCCATACCTTTGAACTAAATCGACATTTAAAAATATGTCACTGTGATAAATTTTCTTTTCTGTCAACCACAACTTTATTTATTTCTGTTGTCCAGCTGCTTGAAGGAATCTCCCTTGATACTCTTGAGTGATAAGATGCATGATCCAACACTAGTATGGATGGCGCTTAATTTTTTTAACAAATTTTCTTCGAAACATTCTTCAAAAATATTTGCATCCAAATTTCCATTGGCAATCACCTGTATTTGTGGACGAAAAAATTAATCTAGCGTCAGGAATAAAACCCTCATCATTTCCAGCATGCAGTATAGTATAATATAGCATTTACCATTACTGGAACGACTAGAGGAATAACTGGAATAACATTTCGTGGTGCCATCTTGCCTGGATGATTTTTGGCACATTTGTTTTAGCGAAAATCCAAGTTTCATCTTAAAATACAACTTGCTTAGGATTATTAAACATTTTATTGTTTATGTATTGTCTTAAAAAATGCCACCGTTTTGAAACAATATTAAAAAGTTCACACAATACTTGTCTAATGTTGTTCTTTTTATATGTTTCCTAACCTAAATGTTTCAGCACTCTCCACAAACTAATATCACACAGTTTCTTGTCTTTTATTTTTTCTAACACAGCACTAATTGTTACATGTTCTTTGGCTTTATACATATACATATATATATATATATACTATATATATATATATATATATAATATTTTTATTTGCTAGTTTCATTGACTGATGCAAATCTAAAGTTTTTGGATGTCGACGATTTCTCTTGCTTACTTTATTTATTTTTATCCTCGCTCATGTTATTAATTCTTCGGAAGCTGGCTCACTGTAGAGGACTTATTATTACCGAAGTGTAAGGAGAGCTATTAACATGTCAACCAATATTATTTTAATTTTTCTTATTAGTAACGTATTTGATTGTCATATCTATAATTAGTATATCAAGTTACATTTATGAATCACTCTCTTCAATTTCTTGTCAAGGTATAAGATGATTTTGATCAAATGATACATTTTCTATCTATCATTTCTGTCGTAGGTATGGACAATGTCCTTCTATAAGGTAGCGATATTTATAATTATTCTTTATCAAGACCGTTGTGTGTCGTTGCCTTAAAAACTGGCAATCATATATTTCTAAATCGCCTATAGTTGTTTCTTGCGCCTTTATTGTATGTCGTTTTTTTATCCAAAGCCTTTAAAAATTTATGAAAAACGACTAAGTTGAGATTTTAAGACGAATATTTGCCACATTATGCTGATTTTATATCATTTTTTTTTTCAGGCCGACTTTCACGAAAAAAGTTATGACCGAAATATCAGATCTCCGACTAGTCAGAACGGCAGTATTGTTCTTCAACGACTCAACCTCATACAGACTCAGGGATAGGACACATAGAAGTGAGTTATCCAAGACGAGTTTTATTCTTTTTGATTTTGAATAGTTTAAACCGACAGTCTAGACTAAGTCATGCATTATTCACTATAAGAATATCGTATATGTAAAACGTTTTAATACACTCAAAGACTAAAATAATGCAAACAGTTAGTGTAGCATTCATTTTAGACATTATATAAATATTGGGTAAGCAAATCCTTATTTGATATTTTTAATCATTCAAAATTATATTCATTTATTTACAATCTATAAATTTCTAAAGAAATTGTAGCTGCTCTAACGAATATCGCAGATCAGTTTGCCTTAGTGGATAATTGCACTGGTTTTTCCATTAAATCTGTCCGAAAAATACTCAAATTTCTGTCCGGTGATGGGACTTTTTCAAGTCTGGAAACAAAACGAAGTCACACGAGGCCAAATCAGGAGAATACAGTGGATGAGGCAACTGTTCGTAACCCAATTTGGCCGTGGTGTCGGCGCAGGTGTGATCCGGTGCCTTGTCATGCTGGAACAACACTTTTTTCACAATTCGAGGTAGAATTGGCCAATAATTTGGTATAGTAGAGCCATTTTCCAGGTAGTTGATGTAAATCACATCTTGTATATCCCAGAAAATGGTGGCCATCATGTTTTTGGCCGAAAGACAGTTTTTGCCTTCTTCCAAGCATTCTCGCCGCGTGAAGTTCACTGTTTGGACTGCCACTTGGTCTCACGTGGCAAAGACGACTAGTATCTCAGTTTTCTTGCGCATCTTCAATCGCGGTCTGTCAATACGAGATCGTGGATTTTTGTCTACAATTTCTAAATCCTCTAAAAGAGAGGATCTTCTATTTTCAAGGTCAGTTTGATCAAACTTTAATTTTGATTGATCGAGAAATATATAAAGACAAATGACCTTCAGCCTGACAAAATATGCATGAGTCAGATTTTATACATGTGCTTCTTGAGGCGACAGTATCATCATCATCATTCCTATTAGAAGATTAGTAGATCTTTCAGATAATCTAGTAGATCTTTGGATCTCTTTTAGCTATGCTTCTTGCTATGCCAACGAAAGGTTCTGATCTAATGTTTCTTTTGCCCCTTACCTGGCAGACAGATCCGCTTTTTCATTCCCTTCAATATCAGTATCTCCAGACACACACAGTTATTTGCTACTTTTTCCGATCAGAATCAAATTCAGAAGTGAGTGTCAAACTAACTTGGAGTCAATCCAATTCGATTCCAGAGCCTTTAATGCCTCTTGACTATCCGATATAATTTTTATAGATTTTCCCAGTAGTTTCTCTTTACTAGTCCCTGTAGACACATCTGTATATAGCATAAAATTCTGCTTGTGTAAAGTTTTTAAAAATTTGTAATTTAGGGAGAAATTAAAGAAGAGGATTCTCCTCGAAGATTGTGTCTTGTTTGTGGAGACGTAGCTTCGGGATTCCATTATGGAGTAGCTTCTTGTGAAGCGTGCAAAGCATTTTTTAAAAGGACAATACAAGGTAAGCATATTCAATTCTGATTGGTTTTGCATGGTATATGAGTTCACTGAGGGGGGGGGGGGGGGAGGGCTTATAGACGAGGTTTGTGTATTATTTGACGGGGGGGGGGGGGGGGGGGGGGGGGGGGGGGGGGGGGGTGGCGGGGGGGGTGGGGGTGTAGGGATTTTTTAAATAGAATAAAAGAGAGCAGTTCAAAATTAAGCTAAGATAAACGTAAGTTCGCGGAAGGAGGCGTGTTCTTTCACACGTGCTAGAACCGAAGACTACTCATTGTAGTCAATCTTCTATTGTAGTTGTAGATTTGCCAGTTTCCTATCGATATTTTTTTTTGTAATTGACCTATTATTTTCCAGATATTAAAATGTTAGAAGCACTAGCGGGCTGTGAACCCGATTGTTTCGAAATCAACAAAGCACTCAATAACTCCAAACACCGCACCTTATCCATTCTCAGTGATCTGTACGATAGGGAATTAGTTGGAATCATCGGTTGGGCGAAACAGATTCCCGGCTTCACCGATTTGTCCCTCAACGATCAGATGCGACTCCTACAAAGCACGTGGGCGGAAATTTTGACGTTAACGTTGGCTTTCCGTAGTCTATCACTGATAGGCATGGGAAGGTTGCAGTTTGCCATTGATTTCACGCTCGACGAAAAAACGTCGAGAGATTGCGGGTCCTTAGAATTATATCAAACGGTAAGTAACTTTTTTAAGATTATTCTTCACGTCTAATTGTCACCAAATAATGTTAACTACATCAAAAATGTTATTCCTAAGTTTGTTGGAATCTTAAAATAAAAACATAGTTGAATTATGTGCTAAATGTTTCGACAATGCATGAGACAAACAATGTTTTACCAAAGGGTGAGTTTTTAAGTGAAATATCAAGAAAAGCAATTAGAAATCTAGAGCACACATTGTAGAACATATGCGTGTCTGTTATAAAAACATATTCGTTGCAGCAAAGTGGAACCTTGCAAGTTAAGCATAATACTATCAACAACATTTGACCGTGAGTCTGTAAATAGTGAGAGTTAACAATAAAAGATGTAAGAACCGATTTATATATATATATATATATATATATATATATATATATATATATATAAATATATATATATATATATATATATATATTTTAGTTGATTTTCTTGGGCTTAGGTTCATAAAAAAAATTTAGTTTGATACTAAGACATTTTTATATATTTTTTTCCAACGTTTCGGCAGGAAATCCATACCATTTTCAAGAATTAATATATTGACTAAAAAAAAACATTTTATGACAGACATAATACGGTTTAAAAGTTAAACTTTTGACTTACCAAGCATGTAAAGACTCGGTATTAACAATTAGACGTCACAATTAAAATAATATTAAAACATAGGACATACCCACTAAGTCACTACAAGTAAAATGTATTTTAAATCTAATGTGTTGTTTATTGATGTTAGTTTATCGTTTAAACAATTAGTTATTTTAACATCATAGGCGTTCTGAGATTGACTTTTTATGTGTTTTTAAATTAAGTTAAAATATATTTTGTTCAAATTTTGACATCTTTTTTATCATTTATTGCGTTATTTTTTTATGTGTATAGACTCTAGAAGCTCTCTCTTCTTCCGGTTGGGTTATATTGAATTCGATAGATCCGATACCGAATAACCGAACTAAACAATCTTGTTTTTTATATTAATACTGAAGCATGCGCATACGCGTGCGCACTTGCACACATAAATCACATTATTTTTGTTGGATTTTAAAAATGATTTATCATCATGTACGCTTTGTTTCAGTGTTGGCACGTTGTAGAAAGGTTAGATAGATTATCTATATTAAAAGAAGAATATTATCTCCTCAAAGCCTTGGTTCTCACAAATTCTGATGTAAAATTAGATGAATACCAGTCGCTCAAAAAATTTAGGGACTCAATTCTGACTGCGCTTTCAGATACCGTTGGAATATTAAGGTAAATACTTTTTTTATTATATATTATAATTATTTTGCGAGGAAAATTTTAAATTTCTCGAGATAGTAGTAAAAAAATTAGTACTTTCAAGTAAAAATACTTGGTTTCCCTTCAATTCATCATTTTTGGTTCAACTTTTCTCAGCTTTTCATTTCATACATTTCAACAGTTTTTATTTTTCTAAACTACTGTTTGATGAACTACAATAATGCAAAAAGTTGAATGTTGTGAAGTCATCCAATTTTTATTTTTGGAGATTGTACCGCCAAAACAAATTCATGAATTATTGTTAAAAATGCAAAAGGACTCTTCCACGTCAGTACTATACAGACTAAAATGACAAATTTGGATGATCCCTATTTGATTACCCCTATAAGAAATGAATATCGGCTTTAAATCATTACATACATTGTTCATAGTAATTTCAGAATTATAAGAATATCCTTTTAAATTGATTTCATCATTTCTTTGAATAATAAATATATCTCTTTCAGGCCTACAGCAGTTCTGAATCAAGTCCAACAGCTCCTTCTCTGCCTGCCTGTTTTAAGGCAGGCCAATTTCGTCATTAGAAGATTTTGGTCTGACGTCCACCAGCGAGATTTAGTACCTATGAATAAATTATTTTTGGAAATGTTAGAAGCCTATTGCCGGTAGCCTTAATAAATGTTTATTATACTCAGTGACGAAAGAAATTTTGATCGTGCTTTTGTAGCTATCTTAACAAAAAATGTTTTGGTTTTAAATATCATTCGCGGGATTGTCTTTTTTGGTAAAGTCGGAAAAAAGTCAAAGGGGCTCAGGTCGGGTAATACTAGTGGACAATTTAGTGTTCTACTCATACTAACCATTGAAATTAATTATAACATACGTTTTTAGGGACCCTCTATGCTACTATTAGCACCCAAAAGCAATCCTCATATGCCTCATATATAATAATATTGTTTTTGTAGAGAGGAGAAAAATCCAAAAGATCCCGCTCGGATCTTAATAATGGATAATCTTTATTATGATTTATCCTCAGTGGGGACTTCTTTGACATGATAAAAACCAAAAAGACAACCCCTATTATGTCTTGTATATCTCAGGGAACGACTAAATAAACAAAGTCGTTGCATGATACTTAAAAGACCAAAGCATTTGTTTGGGGTGACTCCTAAATTATTTTTGAATGTTTAAAAATAAATGCAGATCATATTTTTTTACGTTGTCACCAAAAACGTATAATAAGTACTACAGGAAAATTTGTAGTAACATATTCTAAAGGAAACGAAGATAATAACAACGGGGTGACATGTTGAGGAATGATTGTATGACTTCTATGATAGTTTCGAATATAGTCTTGAGTTACAAGTTCGCACTCAAATTCAATTTAAAATTGGTAAACAGAATTCAAAAATAACATTGTAGCTTTTCAAGTATTTCAAAATAAATAAACCCTTAATGGTATTATTATTATTTATTATACAGATATTTTCAACTACCGTTATTTTACAATGCTGCCATACTTATCAAATATTTATGATCAGAAAACTATATTCGACTAAATGAAAATAACTGATGGGCGTAATTTTTTTCGATTATTTTGAGTCCGTCGTGAGAATTTGGTTTATATTTCTTGACAAATGTAGGTTTCTTTATTAAAAATTTAACTCAGATCCGGTTCGAAGGACCAATGTATCAAAGCGATTCAAAAAGTTATCGTGGTATATTCAGATTAATGGAAAACGCAGCTTATTTGTTAATAAGCTTGCTTTAAAAGGTATGTTTTTCATATTCTGAAAGTCAGTATATTTTATACAATTTTCTAAATGTCTATTTGGGCTGTATTTTTTATATCGTCCCTCTGTATCTTTTTCCCAGTCGCAGGACTTTCTGACTTCGTTTCTATACTATTGTTTTCTATGGTGGTCTTTGCTTCAACATAAATGAACATTAATGATAACAGCATTTTTTCGTTTATTTTGAGAACGTCGTGAGCATTTGGTTTATATTTCTTGAAAAATGTGGTTTCTTTATTAAAAATATACTTTAGATCCAGTTCGAAGGACCAATGTATCAAAACGATTCAAAAAATATATTCGTTGGCGCCTCAGGTTGATGGAAAATGCAACTTGTTGAAAAACTTACTTTGAAAGATATATATTTTTCATGTTCTGACAGTATATTCTTTGCTGTAGAGTTTTTTAAAATCTTCAGCCTGTTACATTGTATACTCGCCTCTCTTTTTTTTTTCAGACGCATGAATTACTGACATATTTTTGATTTTATTGGTTAATATCATATTGATTATTTAGAATCTTTTTACTTTTACCTGTTTCTCGATTTCTATAACTTGTTCAATATCGTAGTGTAGTAAGTTTGTATTATTGGTCGTTATAACTCCCAAACTTCGAGTTTGGTTATAGATGAAAAATAAAACAATATTCCTATTATGACTGCCAACGTTGCCATCGTTTAGTATCGACATTAAACTCATAAAAAAGATAAAGTTTGATTTGTTTTAGTATAAATACGGCATATACATATGTTTTCACACATCCATGGAGTATTATGATCTTAATATAATTCTTAATAACTTTTTAATGAAAATCCTCTATCTAATAGAAGTTTTTTCGTACCTTTTTTCTTGGCTTTACGTCGTTTAGTTTAGGTTCAAATATTTAAACTATTTTCTCCATAACAATTGCTAAGATGTACTTATCCACTAGGATTTACTAAAAGAAATGGTTGTTTACACTGCTTTAAAGACTTATATATTGTTAAAGTACAACTTAAAAATGATTGTGTGAGTTTCCTGATATCAGTTAAACGTATTAAAAACAGAACCGCTTTCGTAATTTGATGATATGTAAAGTATAATATAAAAACAAATAAAAAACAAAAAATAGAATGTGTTTTCCTGTTTTGTTGGTAGATTTTGTTGAAAAATCTATAAACAAAACCAGAAACAGTTGAAAATATAAATCAAAATACGGAATTTGGTATTGCACACTTCAAAATTCAAATCACAAGGCAATTAGCTGTTGTTTTTACAGCTCTTGGATGAAGGGTAACCATATATGTTTTGTTATTGTTCTGAGCTATTTTCTTGTGGCATTGTAAATTAATTACTATTTATAACTGGGAATAAGCCACAATTAAAGATAAAAATACGTTTATTGACGTTTCAATTTCCAATTCGGAAATCGTTCTCAAAATACAAATAGTAAATTAAACAAATTTTGTTTTTTTGTTACATAGTGAAAAAATTCTTCTAATAATTTAATTTTATCTGACTCATTTATATTGACAATTCAGACATACATTATGCATTTTAAAAGTAGACGACTTTAAAATGATATTGCCAATATTGTTGAGTTGCGCTCCTGGGACGACTTTACTTATAAGATAGTTCATTCGATTACATGAAATCAACTTTAACTTGAGAATATCCGTCAGAAAAAATCATAGCATATAATTCGTCTTTAAAAAGACAAACACATGACATGATGACAGTAAAATCTCCTGTTAGTGATTCCATAGTAAATTATGAGGGAAAAACCAGGAAAAAAAACCTCATAATACTATCCCGACATTGTAAGTATTTGTTCGTGAATTTAGTTTACCTTCAACAAACATCAAAATTCTGATTTTATATGTTACGTTATTTAAAAAATATAAATGAAGTATCCTCTATATGTTACTGACTTACTAATACTGGTATTTTCTTATTAATAACTTCCTCTTTCAATATTGGTAACCAGATCCTACTACATTCTGCCGAGGAATTTGCGACACAATTGGCCTAAAAAAAACGGATGGTAAAAAAAGAAAATCAAAGAAGCGGCTCTAATTATGCTAAATGAGGCTAATTGTGTCGCAAATTCCTCGGCAGAATGTAGTAGGATCTGGTTACCAATATTGAAAGAGGAAGTTATTAATAAGAAAATACCAGTATTAGTAAGTCAGTAACATATAGAGGATACATCATTTATATTTTTTAAATAACGTAACATATAAAATCAGAATTTTGATGTTTGTTGAAGGTAAACTAAATTCACGAACAAATACTTACAATGTCGGGATAGTATTATGAGGTTTTTTCCTGGTTTTTCCCTCATAATTTACTATGGAATCACTAACAGGAGAATTTTACTGTCATCATGTCATGTGTTTGTCTTTTAAAGACGAATTACATGCTATGATTTTTTCTGACCGGATATTCTCAAGTTAAAGTTGATTTCATGTAATCGAATGAACTATCTTATAAGTAAAGTCGTCCCAGGAGCGCAACTCAACAATATTGGCAATATCATTTTAAAGTCGTCTACTTTAAAATGCATAATGTATGTCTGAATTGTCAATATAAATGAGTCAGATAAAATTAAATTATTAGAAGAATTTTTTCACTATGTAACAAAAAAACAAAATTTGTTTAATTTACTATTTGTATTTTGAGAACGATTTCCGAATTGGAAATTGAAACGTCAATAAACTTATTTTTATCTTTAATTGTGGCTTATTCCCAGTTATAAATAGTAATTAATATGTTTGTTCTTGCCCACTTTTGGTAAAATAATAAATTCTGCACAGGAACCGCTTTTAAATTGTACTATAGTGTCATACAATCATTCTATATAAAATTGAAATCATTCCTATGGTATACAATGATATAAACCATGTTAATAACATCAGACTTCTTTTGTGATGAATATTAAAGGCTGTGAAAACCCCCAGGTCGATAAATATTAACCATGGCGAAATGAATGTATTTTGTTGTAAGTTGGAGGTATGTTTTCTAGATAAAAAATGTGTCTATTGATTTTAATCGATTATCTCGGTTAGGTAGACGTATAGATTTTATATTTTTCTTTTTAATTTTCTTATAGATAATTTTATTAAGGTAAAAGAAGTATCTTGTGATAGAGGTAACTTACGGTTATTGTTGAATAAAGCACGTAGTTTTTATTGACAACTTGAGTACTTAGAGTACGATAATAATAGTAATAAACATAAACGAGTAAAAGCATATAGATAATGAAATTCAAATGTGATTATTGATAAACAAAGACAAAAAATAAATAGGAATTAATTGTACTGCTATGTGAAATAAGACAAAGTTCTACACAAAAGAGATCTTCTTCTACTTTTTGTAGATCTTTCGATCTGTTTAATTCTGAAGCTGCCTCTGGTTAATTTCTTGGGAGGTAGATTGCCAACTATCCCTCCATCTTTTAGGTGGTCTTCCGGGGGGTCTTGAACCGGGCGGATTGTTTTCTAGGACAATTTTTGGGAGTCTATTCTCATCCATTCGTCTTACATGGTTGTACCACATCCTCTTGCGCTGCCTTCCCCATCTTACAATATCTTGAATTTTGCACTGCTCTCTAATGTTTGTATTTCTCACTCTGTCTCTTCTTGTTTTCCCCATTATTGTTCTTAGGGTTTTCATTTCGGCAACCCTTAGCATCTGTTTCGTTTTGTTGGTATCTTCGCGCACTTCTATGCCATATGTCATGATCGGTCGTATGCAAGTCTTATAGATTCTAATTTTACTATCTGTGCGCATATACGGATTTGACCAGACTATCCCGCAGACATCCTGACAGTGCAGATGCTTTGTTGATTTGACTCCTCAGGTCCTTTACTGGGTCGTGGGTGCTTGATATATCTAT